TCAACTAAATTTTGGTGAGAGCTGGCTGTTAGTCAAAATTGGTGGACAGTAATTTACGTCAATGTTTATGTCCCCAAAATTGGTCGTGAGAAAAATGAGAACAAAGGCTTTGCGTAGGCGGATACGGTTAACATATAGATAATCTGACATTCAAGAAACAGCCACAAAGAGATTAACTTTGAGTCAGAAACAACCAATCAAAAGACTGTTTTTCTGTAATAATAATCTATAATATGTACATGAAAATCTATAAATATGCGTTGATTTCCTTAATAAACGATCTGTTGCCTGGCCCTTGTCTTCTGTTGTTACAAATTCACCTACGAGTTTGTTAGGTGTACCAGTAATATGAATTGTGAAAAGTGTTTTAACCATTTACTCTGGTTAAATGCGTATCATTAAACTTTTGAGTAAAGCGCCACCATCAAAACCCATTATTTGGAATGGCATTCCTAACGGTAGCATGTGTGTGTAGGCGTAGTGAAGTTTTTAGGCTAAGGAGCACCTTCTAACATATCAAAAGATGAGGTAAAAGTATCTCAAGTATTTCGAAGGTAGATTACATCTTATTTCGAATTCGACCAGTGAATAAATAAACATGCAGTCCAGTGGCTGACAGCTTCACTTCTGACGCCTGATTCATATATCGATCATTTAAATTCCATAGGATTGCTCATTAGACATTTGAGGCACGAGAGCGAAACGTAAAACTTGATATAATTTGACTATACGTGGTAGGCTGCTAAAATCACTGGACCACTGAATTTATTATGTATCAAAATGCATCTCATGTTGTTCTGATTATTCATTTATATTTTTGAATCTCAATCTGTACTCACGCCTATATTCAACAAATAGGTTTTGACCTACCACTATGGATTTTTCAAGGAAAATGGGGAATAGCGTGGCAAGTTATTAGATTGTGATTTAGACAGAACAATACTGCTTCAAAACATATATTACGGATTATTAATTTATTTGAAGACTACCGATAAGTAAACACTTTGCGCTTGAAGATGCTAAGACTTATCTGAAATGCATAAACTCATCTTCCAGAATACATTTGTTATTAGTAGTAATTTCCTAATGGTGTCCTCCTTGAGCTGATTCACTGATCGCTTTTGGCCAACAATATATTTGGGCGTAACCATCAATAATGTCATTATGTTTAGATTTTAAGCTTTACGATTTCAGCTAACAGGTGAATCAAAGATACATTTTACACAATAAAAGAGAAATTACTAAAAAAGTAACAGTGCTGAGTGTTGACGGAATACAGACTTTTTGCTGTTATGTATGAACTCTAGTACAACTCCACTGGTAGTGAATATTTTCTCAACTTGGGGCTAACAATTATTTCATAATTTGAGGATCCTTATGATGATTATAGTGGTTCTAATCAGTAAATATAAACCGTCAACTCCTAGCTTAGTGACAGGTAGTGAAGTGATAGAACATATTGACCACCTCACTTATTTGGGGATTTGTATCAGCACCAACGGACTGATTGGTGACGAAATCTCAGCAAGGATCCAAAAAGCTCGAGCTGCTTTCGCCAACTTACATCATCTCTGGCGTAGGCGTGACATCCGGCTATCAACCAAGGGACGTGTGTACTGCTCACCAGTTCGCTCCGTCCTTCTCTATGGCTCTGAAACATGGCCAATACGAGTTGAAGACATGAAAATGTTGACTGTTTTTGATCATAGATGTTTACGATCTCTTTCTCACGCTAGGTGGTATAATAAGGTAAGTGATGTTGACGTTAGGCGTAGTGTTGGGTAAACAGGGAAAATCAATCGACGAGGCTATAAAGTTACATAGATTGAGATGGCTAGGTCACGTGCTGCGCATGCCTAACCATCGCCTCCCCCGCCCGACGGGCATTACTAGCTGATATAGGTGCAGGTTGGAGAAGAGTAAGTGGTGGCCAAACAAAAACATAACCCCATCAATCCATGAAATCCTTGACAGTTAAACTGAGTCAGGTAGGTAAGGAGATGCAGACTTCCGGGTTGGGGCCCTCGGGACTGACTCTAGGAATCAATGGCTGGAGACAATAGGTGACATGGCTCAAAATCGTTGTCAATGGCCAGCGCAGATGTATTCAGTCTCTGTAATCTTTCATATTCTCTCTACCACTACCCATTCTGTTTCACTCTTATACCTGTCAAACTTTATTGATTCTCTTCACTCATCTTCTTGTCTACCTTTGTGTGCTGTTTGGAACGTGGCAACTCGAACTGCTGCACTTCGGTGACAAGTTCTATGTTGAATCCAGACAGACAGACAGTTTTTAATGAAGTAATCAAATAGAATGAATGCATCAAGTTAACAGTCAGTCATCAGTACTTATGAACGATTCATTTTCTAAAGCATCAGTACGTCTACCTTCATTTAGCGTTGAACTGAGAACAACCTAAGTGTTTATTTTAACAGACATGAATGTTGTCTTGATGTAATTAAGTAGTAATTTTTCTGAAAACAGAAAACAGTGACTCAGAGGATGACATTTAGGTAAACATGTACAAACCTGCTGTCAGAATACTACCATACAAATTGATATTTGATGATTTATGAGAAATTGACTGAGGTTACATAGATACTCAACGGTGTAGTGTCAACTTGTTGTAGTAACATGACAACTATATCTTACGTCTTGCACGAACGTGTAATTCAATTCAAAGTTGTTATAAACTAAACAGACTTAAAACTTCATAGTGCTTTCTGGTATAATAGAATGTAGACAAAACAATTAGAAGACGAAAATATAGCAAATGTAGCAAGATAATATCAGCTCAGTTTGTTATTATTTCGCAGATTTGTCTCAACTATTTACAGCCTAAACAATACCAGAAAACCTGATTTACTAAAACGCGGTTTGATTATGCTTTCATTACATTGCTACTGTATAAAATATACATTTTTTGTAGTTGTGTTACTTACTAACATACTCTTTATAGTTAAATTTCGTTTCTACCCAAAGTTTTGAACTCTCTCCTTTTCTGAAAAGAACATCAATCTAATTATCTAATAAACAGTCAGTCCTTCTAATATTTAATAATTTAACCATTTACATCATTCCTGAAACATGCTACATACAGTTATTATCAATAACTATGTGTCAAAATAGTGCGTTGGTGGTTCGGAGTTCGATCCCCGGCCGACGTACTCCTTTACCTCACTAAGCCAGTAATAAGATTGGTTAAGAGAGAAAAGGTTGGGCATGAGGTTAGCAACCACATCCCGTAAAAATAAACACCACTGCTACAGAAACTTCAAGCCTGTAGTTTGAAGCTCTATGTTCTACTGGGAACGTAAGGAACGAGTGCAAAAAACTTCTCAAAATGTCTTGATTTTACTCCCTTTGATAGGTTTGATCGAATCTTTTAAATGATTTTGAAGGATTTTTCGAGTGGCGCTGAATGTCCTGAATTCACCAGGTGTTCTGTCACCGAACTATTTACCCGTTTTCGTTCTCCTAAACTGGTATATGCACGTTGAGGTGGCCCAATGCGACAGCTTGTCTTTCGAGTTCTGGATGAACAGTTTCTTGCAGGAAAACGTCAGTCGTAGGCTAGCGGCGAAGTATGTTTTCCTAAGCGATTTTGAGAGGCGTCTGTGAAGGATTTCTGCTTCAATATCACCTTTGAATTCTAGATTAAGCAGAAGCTTCCCAAAGAAAATGCTTCTGCTTAATCTAGAATTCAAAGGTGATATTGAAGCAGAAATCCTTCACAGACGCCTCTCAAAATCGCTTAGGAAAACATACTTCGCCGCTAGCCTACGACTGACGTTTTCCTGCAAGAAACTGTTCATCCAGAACTCGAAAGACAAGCTGTCGCATTGGGCCACCTCAACGTGCATATACCAGTTTAGGAGAACGAAAACGGGTAAATAGTTCGGTGACAGAACACCTGGTGAATTCAGGACATTCAGCGCCACTCGAAAAATTTCTCAAAATGTGTTCAAATTCTTTTCGTCTTGTCTAGGTTGTAAGCAGTTGATAAGAATTGATGAATTAGTGAAAATGAGCTACATGCTATTTCATTACCACTTTTTAGTTATTTGTTCAAGTTGATCAATGGGAAGAAATGTATGAAGTTTTGAATGAAACAGTCTCAAATAAAGAAGAATTAGTTACTATTACTAATACTATTAACAATAATGCATAAACTTACAGTTTGTTGTTTATTCTGTTCATAATCATCACTACTGACAGGATTGACTACAGACGAGGTAAATAGTGTTGTCTTTTGGTCAACATTTGTTCCACTACACATACGTAAATTCATAATTACTGAACGTAGATGAGCTATCTCCATATCATTCTGTGTTAGACATGATTTAATCCAATTATTCAATAAACCAATTAACCGTAAACACATGTTAATATTTTCACCTAATTCATAATTTCTAATGTCTTGTTTATTATTATAATTATTTTCACTCAGTAAAATTGATATATTCGTTAGCTGATTGTATAATTCTTCAATGAAAGCTGGTGTTCTTGATGATTTTCTAAGAATGATACTATCATTATCATTATTATTATTAGTAGTAGTAGTATGCATTTCAATTGCTTGACCATTTGTTGTACACTGTTGCATTTGTATATACTGATTCATTAAATCATTATAACGATTTTGTAATGCTTTCAGCAGATTACGTACAGCAATACAAGCTGGTGAATTACACGTTCCAACTGGAATCTTTAGGAAGTTAAAGGGGAAAAAAAAAGAAAATAGGGAAATCCAATGAAATAAAAACGTTAAAACAATAGAAAATGCAAATTCTATCTACAATTATTTGAATTGTGGTGACTGGCAGTAGAATTCAGTTCGCATATTTCCTTCTGCTTTGGGACTGGATACATGAATGTGATGGTATTCCTACGGAGACGCGAACCCAATACCTATCGTCTCAAACACTAAGGCAATGGGCAATTTATTAAAAGCGTATTAATAATACCAATAACGCTTTTAACGAACTCTACAGTTATCGGATCAATAGTGGTCTTAATAACGTGTAATTATTACTGGTTACATTTCTATTTGCCTTTATATGTGAATTGCTTCTCTAAACAACAATTATGATTGATCAGAAGTTGCGAGTAACTTCGACTACAGTTTATGCATGTTTAGTCTGTCGAGTCTTTTTTACTTCAGCAACAATTTCGCTTACAGGTGATCACCATCCAGGATTCAAGCATAAAAAGATACACTGATAGTTCATTATTACCCTTTAAAACTCTTCGACAGTCTTTATACAAGTCTGATGCCAACCCACCATTTTCTTCAACATAGGAGTAGGTTAGAAAAGAGTTTGGGGGTCATAAAGTCCTTGACAGTTGTTTTCAGTCACGTAAAGAAGTATAGACTCCCTAGTTGATCTCCTCAAGACGCCTAGAATCAGTGGACTGAGACTTCTGGTGATATGGATGAAAAATGTTCTCGATGGCGCAGACGGATTAACTTTTTGTAACCTCAAGTATTTATTAAAACCTCATGATTTTTAAAGTTGCTATTCTTTTACTTTTATTTCTGCTTATTTTAGTTCTTTTGAATCACTTTTTCATTATTTTCTCTGCCCTTGTATGGTAGATACAATGTTGCAACTTGAACCGCTGCACTTCTGTACAAAGTCCTATGTTGAAACTCAGCCAGTTATTCATCAACGGTGCCTTTTTTAGACTAAGGAGGTAAATTCGTAATTCTACGACTGATATTTTCAAAATGAAGTCAAATCGAAGTATGTGTTTTTTGTCATCTGAATCAGGTGATTCAATGGGTGACTAATATTCCATTAGAACTTTGGCAAATATGTCTTGGAGACAGTCACTATTAAATCATAAAGTCTTCTTCTTTGAATTAACAATAAATAGCAAATTAAAAAGAAGGCTTTGGATGCGATTTCATTCCGGACCGATTTATGCAAAGAGAATTCGGATAACATTTTATTTCATGCATTTTCACTGACAAAAAATACCTTTCGACACCATTCAGTCATTAAATATTAGAAACTCATTCATTTTGTTTAGTTCACATCACTATGAGGAAAGTCTTTTTTTAAACCCCGATACATTCTGTCAAGCAGCTATCTAAAGTAAAATCGAAACCACTAACGAAATAAAATTAATTCTTAGTAGTGAAATTAACTCAATGACTTCTTTATCGGTTTCATCACAAGCTGATGTCAATTAGATAATCGTTGGAAAATCAAAGAGTACTGAACAACTGTTTTGGGACTCGTCATCAGTACGCACCCACTTAAGTGCGAACCCAGGACCTTCCAGTTACAAAGTGTTCTTGTAGATCATTCAGCCAATGAGACCTGACCCAACGGCCCATGAATTCCAACTTCTACCAATTCACGATATGTGTAGCGCCACCGCAATTAGCGAGCAACTATCCACCCATCTGATCTGATGGACCCTGCTAGTTACGACTTCTCAGTAGAACTTCAGGCAACTTCCAGTAAACGGCCAGCCACTACTGAGCATCAGATTAGTTTTCAAGTGTTGGTATGTAGGGAGTGAACGTCTTTTTATCAATTATATTTTCTGAATCTGTTTGTCTGTTGTTTAAAACTATTCAATTATTTAAACCTGGTTAAAAATAATTAAGTTTTCTAGAAGGTATTCATTCACTGGTATAGTTTCATTTAAAAATCTCTTTCGGTTAACTTACCAATCATAGTGTTTTATAAATAGTATCTTAAAGTAGGTGAATGAGTATTTTTGAGCACTTTGTATTCCAAGTATGTTTCAAACTAAAACATGGTTAAAATTAATACTTTACTATTTCCTAACTGTTCATTAAACTTTGATTGGACTCTAGTAACTACTGTTATGTGTCAGGCTAGTCCTTTGGTGCAGACGGAATTCTATCAGTCACGTTGGCAAAGTGGCCACCATTCTAAGTAGCTCGCCATCACGGTGTACATTGATTTGATATTAGATGGTTGGAGGCAATCGGCAGGAAGTCCTATCTGACCTAGGTTTCGTTCTAGTTGGCATACGTCAGCAAGGCGTATGTGTAACTGCTGAAGGCACACAGACAGATATGAAAACAGTCACTTTATGCTTCGCTAACCAGTACATTATCTGCTAAATTTTTTGTGTAAAAACCACTTTTCGTGTGCATTAGTGTTTCAATGATAGAATGCTTTCCAGCCACGTGAGAGTTCTGAGTTGGATTCCCAAAGATTGTACTCTTAAACTTCACCTTATTGACTAACCGGTAGTAAGTCCGAAAAACAGAAAAGGCTGGGTGTGAGTGAGACCAACAAATCCAGTGCATAAAACAACAATACTACTACAACAACAACTTCAAAGGTGAAAGCTTGAAGTTTTATATTCCACTTGGAATGCAAAAGAATGAATTAGAAATAATGATCAGTTTTAGTATTTACATGTGGAAAATGTGAGTGGAATTCCTTTTAGAAAAAAGCGAGCGCCATTTACGAACACTTTACTGTGAAAGCTTATCAAATGAAGTTATTGTTTTAAGAATTCTTTTCACTTGATTATTTGTGTTATAAATAAATTTCGTTAAATATAAGTTACATGTTACTACATAGGAAAGGTATTCTGACAACTACTACAAAATGCTACTGCCTCTTAACATACCAGGAGATAATTATGTCCAGATTTTAGCTCAGCTTTAATGTCACATAACTGAACAGACTAAAAACATCTCATATGAAATTTTCATTCTGAAGAAGAAACGTCTAAAACTTGCTCTTTCAGTGTATTTTTCAGTACTTCAAGGAATAGACACAATAGACATGATAAATGATGTGGAGACATACAGTATATGAAGGTCCACATAAAAGAACCTTCAGCTTAAACTGTAACTCTCTACACCTGTAGGCCCACGAATGAAAATAAACAAAAGTAACAATGCATGACAGTCATTCATATGTGAAAGAAAATAATGACTTTATTCGACCTATGGTAATTGTCTATGAACCACACCACGTAAATTATCAAAGCCAACAAATGAATTTTAATTTCCCAATACGAGTTTATAGGGATTCAATTGATTTCAATTTTCATAACGGATTGATATCAGTTAGCGATCCACTGAAAACCAGAGGTTACTGGGTGACTGCTCGTCCCATTTTGGGACTCTTCACCAGTATACATTTTTTGGATTGCAGCTTGATTCAACACCGTATTTTTGGTACAGTTATGGAATTTTCAGCATGTAATATCGGTAGCCCAAATTTCGCAGGCGGACCATACATATCAGCTGTGCGTCGACAGAAGATCGAGCTACAGACCATATGCATGATCGGCGAGAGTCCTAACCGCCGTGCCATCGAGACGGCTTACTGACTACTAGACACTAAACACAGGACCTTGAGATTGCAAGGCCAGTTCATTTACCATTCGGCCACTGGAGCGGAATCCAATGACCCGTCAATTCTAACTTGTGTCAATTTGCGATTTTAGTGCTAAAAATGTCATCCACGAGTATTTGTCCTCAGAGCCATCTTGATGGACTCCATTGATAACGACTTCTCACTGAAACTCTAGGCAAATTTGTCCTGCAATCAGTCCCTAGTGAAGACCAGATTGATTTTTGAGGGTGATTTGTAGGGTGTTGACTATTTTGAAGTTTGATCACGGACTGTTTTCAATGATTCTGTAACCGATATGAAGATTGCCTGATCAACTAAGGTTCAGTGTTTACTGTCTTTACTTATGTTATAACTATATGCATATCACAATTAGGATTTTCGTCAAAAGTATATTTTGAGGATTGAAATGCCAGTTGTTGACTTTATTTAAATTCCTGCAGTATAACGTGCTGTGGTGTAAACAACTGAGAAATAGATATAGGTAGTATTTTGGGTAGCGTCTTCAGGAAAATAATGGTAATTTCTGTTTTACTGAAAATGTCAGTCAGAGAGAAACATAATAAGGCGCTAATAACACTGAGAACAGTCCTCTACGAAAAAGACAAGGTGAATTGTAAAGTTCTGACAACAGAGTGTATTGTAGTTTATCCGAGTAAACATTACTTCTACCCACTGACTGTTTTTCACTTCAGTGTACTGCATATTTAAAGGCATTTTGCAGTGAATACTTATACTGACTTTAAAAATTATCACTCATTATTCTACAGTAGTTTTAATTGAACACTAGTCAGTAACTAGTGAAATGTGTGTGTCTAGTCCTATCTTTGGTGCAAACTGAATTCTATCAGTCAGGCTTGCAATGCGGCCACCATGCTAGGTTGCTGGCCATCATGGTGTACTGTGAATTGTTGGTATCAGATGGCTGGAGGCAATCGCCAGATACGCCTTGCTGACGAGTGCCAGCTAGCACGAAACCTAAGTCTGTGGTGAGAGCAGGCCGTGAGAAAATATGAGCAAGGCTGATTCAACAACCAATCACAGCAAAGTTAACGTGGCAAAATATGATTCGCAGATAGAGAACTCTATTTGTCAAGGAATCCCGAAACAACCAATCAGAAGCTTGCGTTTGTCTGCCTAACTTCTGATAAACAACCAATCAGATGACTGCGCTTGTCTACTTGCATAAGCTAATAATGTATATGAAATATGTATAAATACGTGTTGATTTTCATAATAAAACGATCTGTTGCCTGGCCCTTGTCTTCTGTTGTTACAAGTCAAGTAGGGCTTTGTGCCGATTGCCTCCAACTATCTAATACCATTATTCTACTGTATATTCAAAGTTGAAGAACTATCTTATTAACGTAGAATACAACTTGTAACGTTTAACAACATAAACATTTTCAGGAATATATTATAGACAGTTTATTAAATCAAAGTGACACTGAATGAACCATCGGTCACCTTTGAATAAAACATTTTTATGAGTGAAATTCGATTCAATGAATAGCTACTTACGAGGAAGCTGTGACACAGCGCAAAGATAATATATATCACTATGTATCCTTTGTTGACTTTATTCTATCATGGATTCATTGAAAATGATAATTGTTGTTCTTATTATCCTTTAGAGTAGAATTCAGTTATAGGTACTTTTTTCTATATCTGGAGCAGCAGTGATGTTGTTTTATTATCAAAGCTGAATAGTTTATAGCTCATCTGGACAGTATCTTGTTCAGTACATTTAATCAAACACTCTTTCTTTTATATACTTATGTTTGACCACTGTGATATCCCTAGTCCTTTCTATCCTTTTAATAGCATATTATTTTGAAGTGAGACAACATAAGCTGAGATGGAATTCTGTGCAAAGTCCTGCATGGTCTCATCACACGGCCAGTCAGTCAGTCAGTCAGTTAGGCAGGTAGTTTTTCCTGTTGCTGTTATACTTACCATAAAGACGGCAAGCAATAAAGTCTGCCTAGAGTGACTGTAATTCGAGTCCTTTTTGCTGTAAATGTTTTTTTGAAATCGTAGAAAAAGGGCAATATTCAACAACAGCTCTATAAAAACACAAATCATTTAGCTGTAGACTATTTAGGTCACAAATTTCCAGTAGTATAGCAAGCAGCTGTTATTTAATACTACTTTGGTTTTCTGAAAATTGTTTACATCTGTCTGTTTAATTCTCTCTCTCCTTCTTCCTCTATCTCAGCGTGTCTCTCTCTCTCTAGATCACACACACACACACGGCTCCAGTAACTGGCATCGTTATGCATATTATAACTTTACTTCGGTAACTAAAAAATAATAATAGTGGTTAGTATCTGTCTATCTGGCAGTAGCCATAAACGAAAATGAATATTTAGAAAAGGAATAGAGACTACATTATTATTGATTAATAACTACTAACTCTACTAGTCGCAATTCAATGTAATCAATCTGTCCAGAAAACATAAAGTTACAAGGTGGGTGATATATAACTAGAGATGCATTCAGTAAGGCATATCTGTTAGGCTGTCACATTTGTAACAAACACCGTGAAATTAATTTTAAAGGTGAAGACAGCTTCATTAAATTATACACTTTAAGCCATAAAGAAAAATTTATTCGGGCTTTTTTCTTCTAGCTTAAATATGTCGACTCTAATAAACTGGTAAATGAACATTTTATACAAATGATGATACTAAAGCCTCTTAGTAGATTTAACAATTAGATAGAATTGGCCTCTTTTTTTCCTTCACGTTCCCCAGTGGAACATAGGGATTCAAGGTAGTGGCTTGAAGTTTCTGTAGCAGTGATTATTTTACAGGATGGGGTTGCTAGCCCCATGCCCAACCTTTCCTCTTTACCAGCATTATTTCTGGCTTAGCGAAGTAAAGGAGTGCGTCTGTGGCCGGGATCGAACCCCGGACCATGTGCATGTCGGCGAGCGTCCTAACCGCTATGCCACCGACGCAACCTCTTGCGACTATAAAAGCTGCATACAGAAGAGGAAAATGCAGAATAAGAGAAACTGAAAGGTTCATTCAGTGATCTAGAAGACTGGTGAATTATGCATGTGACATCGGTAAAGATGGACGCTGATTTCAAAGAATACCCACAAAGATGCATACGAATATAGGGGAGGAGTTTTAAAATAAGACAAAATAAGCCATTTTGGATTTCAAATCAGAAAGTGCTAATCACATCAAGATGTCGTCTAGGTTCATCTAAGCAAAAATCAAATGTCATCAGCGAAGGTATATATTTTCAAATAAGTGCAGTAACTGAGCTAAGATTCAATTCTACATAAATTTGTTTATTCGATATATCACACGGTAACATTTCGAAAACTACTTATTGCTACTATTCTTCAGAAGATCCTGTTTAATCTATTTAAACAAAATAATTCAGTTTATCCAACTATTTGCAATGATTATGAGGTCAAACTAGTAGGATCGATTAAATTGACAGACCACAAAAGCTACAACAATCTAGACTACTAGACCTTACTCAACTATTCGGAAAGATGGAAAAAAGTGACAGTCCCAAAATCCAATATAGCAGGTTAAAAGGAAGAGATCGATAAATGAAGCTTAATTAATCGATTTGATTGCAACAGACATCTAAAATATTTTACTACTCTTACGACTAATAGGAAAGAATAAAACCGAGTTTAAAAGCTGTTTAGTGTAAAGCTGAAATGATTTTGAACAATAAATTATGTTGGAAGGATTATTCAGTAAGTGACACCCTTTCACGGCGTGATATACACAATAAACAAATTAATGTGGACTTACATTCTACCTCATCGTCTTAGTTTTATACATTTATTAATCCAAACTAAGATGTTGTCAGCCTCATTCATTAGCTCTATATGATGACGCCACGTGTCAGTTGACCCAAAACGGAAAACTCAAAGTGTAACAGCAGAAGACAAGGGTCAGGCAACAGATAGTTCATTAGGGAAATCAACAGGGATTTTTATAGATTTTCACGTACATTATTATAGATTATTGTTAGCAGAAAAACACAGTCTTCTGATTGGTTGTTTCTGACTCAAAGTTAATCTCTTTGTGGCTGTTTCTTGAATGCCAGATCATCTCTCTGCTGACCGTATCCGCCTACGCAAAATCTGCTGTGGTTGATTGTTGAATCAGTTTTTGTTCATATATTTCTCACGACCAATATTGGGGACATAAACATTGACGTAAAATACTGTCTACCAATTTTGGTTAGTAGCCATCTCTCACCACAAAAGTAGCCTATCAAGTGAAGACAGGAGTAATCCACAGTAGTCTGACTACGATCACTGATGACTGAATTATGCGTCAGACTATGGGGAGCGAGAAAACATAAATATGTTGCACCTATAAAGAGACTCTGGAAGATATGAATTTCGCGGATGATTAGTGTCGAATGTCATAAACTCGAAAACCTACAGGCGAAATCCAAAATGTTGACAGAAAAGGTAAGCAACAAAGACAGGAATTCAGATCAGCATAAACAAAACGGAGTGATAAAAATAACCAATCAACAGCAAACACCAACCGCTATCAACGGAATAAGTTTGAAAGAGGATACTCCCTTCATTTATCTGGGCAGCATCGTTTCATCTGCAGGTGGAACGGAATAGAAAGTCAAAACCAGAATCACAAAGGCAAGGCAAACCTTCATCACTCTGAAATCACTTTGAAAGTTCTCCATTCGTAGCATAAATAACAAAATTCTGATTTTCAACACTGATATTAAATCAGTTCTTCCATATGGGTCAGCAACTTCGTGCATCACGAAAAGTATTACCGACAGTTTGCAAACTTTTATTATTATTTGCCTCTGCCTCACAAAGAAGACAAAATGGTCAGAAAGAATTAGCAGCAGGGGGTTCTGGAAACGAACCAACCGGTAACTTATTGCTCAACAAATATGTAAGAGAAAATGGAGAGGGATCGAACACAAGCTGAGGAGACCGTTGGGTAACATAGTGTACCAAGACCTTGAGCGAAACTCGAATGGGAAACCACAAGGGGAGCGGCGGAGAATGATATGAAGGAGATCCTGTGAAGAGGAGGTGAGAGACTATGGAAAGTCGTGGGGCCAGCTAAAGACGGCTGCAGAGAACAGGAAAAAGAGGAAATGTGATATTGAATCCCTCTGTTCCACTCGGAACCCAAGGGATCAATAAATAGATAAATAACAAGACGTTATATGAAATAATGGTAAGGGTAGTAACATTAACAGCTACATATTCCAAATTATCCTGTTAAATATCCAACAAAACTAAATAAATAAAACTAAATAAAAAAATAATAAACGTATGAAATTCTCATAACATCAATATTACTTAACCAACGTGAAGAACTTTTAGCATAACTTACTGTAGTAGATGTTGCATTTGATAGTTGCATTGAATTGTCGGTAATAGTTTGTTTCAATGATGCATTTACAGCTTTCAGATCAGAAATTTGTCTTTCCATTTGTTTGACATCATAACCACGTGATGTTTTACGAACATGACTATTGTTATTGTTATCAGTGTCTGCAGTATTACGTGAACGGCTTCGCTGACGATCACGTCCACGACTGTTAGTTAATTCGAATGGTTTGGACTCTGAGTATTCACGTAGCATATCTTCATAAAGGGCCTATTCAATTAGATAGAAAGGTAAGTTTAGAGAAAATGTAATATAGGCAACATTGTCAATAATAGTTTCTCTACAGATACACCGTTAATTAATTACAACCAATTTTCTCCTTTTGCTTATTCTCATCTGTAAAATATGTATTAATATGAACATGGAGCTATATTGTACAAACTGGCTTTCATGTATACCTGGAATCTGACCAGTTAGCTGAAAGGTAATACTGCGCACATTGCTGTTGACCGCCAAGATATCTGAAACAGTTTTCTTAAAAGGTTCTAGGATTTAACAATGAAAAATTAATATGTGAATCCAGTATACTTATCACAGTTCACATTTCTAACAATAAAAGGCAATGATTAAATCAGCTAATTAAAATGTCTATTTTTCTTGTGATTGGTGTTAATTGAAGGTAGCAGGAATAGCTCGGAGAAAGATACGAACGGGTAGTCTCTAAATTACTAGTCCATTACCCTATCAGATGAGTCACGAGACCCAACTGCTAATTACGGTTATCATTTTTCCACAAACACCACGCGTAGTGTCTAGATGTATGTCATGTGAAGGAATGATAAGCTTACCGGCTGTTTCTCATCACAATGACTGTCTATATAGGTATTCAATTGTCAAACATAATTATACGGAATTAGAATAAGAGTGCACCTTGGTCCCTAATGACTGATGGTGTGCTCATTGAGAGCGGAACCTGGAACTAATCGTTTCAGACTCCAACAGAGACTGATCATTTCAGTTTAATGTATTTAATCAACAAGGAATTCAAGTTAATAATTTCAAATTATTTACAGTATCATATACCGATGGATTGCGTTGGTGGCGAAGCGGTTTCGGACTCTCGCCAGTCATGCACGCTCACCGACCATATACATGGTCCGGGGTTCGATTCCCGGCCGACGCACTCCCTTACCTCGCTGAGCCAGAAATAATGCTGGTAAAGAGGGTAGGTTGGGCCAGGTGAGGCTAGCAACCCCACCCTGTAGAAATAAACATTGCTACAGAAACTTCAAGCCACTAGCTTGAAGCCCTATGTTCCACTGGGAACGTGAAGGAAAAATTATTTTTTTATTACACTGATGGATTAAAATGAAAGCATTATTCTATTTGATTGCCTACTTTTCGAAAATAAGAATGAATAAAGACATCTGATAGTTTCCCTTTTTCAGCTGCTAAAGTATAATCTACTAGGTTAATGCACCATGTGATCGTAAGCTCTGGTTCAACTAGCACAAGTCGTTACTCATCGGTTCATCTTTCTTGAAGTGGGTCAGTCAATCCGACATATTTTTTAAGGTTACCAGTAACCAACCATCATCACTCTGGAATCAGTGTGAAGATTTACTACACTCAGCATTGTGGAACAAGATCCAGATCTTCAGTACTAATGTCAAGTCAGTGATTCCCTATGGTTCCTAGACGTGGGGCGCATGTCGTCAGTAGCATTTCCAACAGTCTAGTGGTTGATTTCTTCACTAGTTGCCTTCGCTATACTCTGGAGATCAGATGACTACGAAACATAAGCAACAAGGAACTCTGACAACTAGCCAACCAAGAACCTATCACCCAACAGATTTACAGAAGGAAATGGAGAGTAATTGCATATACGTTGAGGAAACAATTGAGTGAAATTACGTGGAAAGTCTCTAGTTAAATCTGAATGAGGCATGACAATTCCGTGTAGTTGCGAGGGTGACATGGAGGAGATCATGTAGGAGAAGACGAAAATCTAAGGGGACTGGTGCAGCCAGCTAAGAAAACTGCAGATATATGCTGCTGAAGTGCCCATGTTCCATTCGCAACCCAAAAAATAATAGTGATCAGTAATAGAAGTGAAGATTTCAGATATACCTTCTGTGCAATGGAATATTGCAGAAAAATTTGAAATGACGACAGATATGCGCTAAGATTGGCCCAAATAAAGCAATATCTGGCTAGATATTCAATGTCTGACAGTTTCCTTTAGAGAACTTATAATTCACCAATTTTAATCCATGCTTATAAATAAATGACTGTAGCCAACCTATTACTTTTATCAGTAGAAATCATCTGAAGGACTACACACAGCTACTTGTTGTTCCGTGGTTAGTAAAAGTGATATTAGTTTAGAATGAAATCCAGCTTATGAGTAAATAACACTATTAGAATTAAATTCCTTTCAAAAGGGACCTAGCACACAGAAATTCGACAGTAGGTTATGCATTTCTTTGCATATAGCATTTGAACTGATGAGCTGTTCGAAATACATCACGCCTTTTTTTAGACAAATTCCGCCTGTATATACATCACAATACAAATTTATTCATTATTTTAAATTTTTATAGAGTTGTTATGTTTTAACAGTCATTCTTACAGATAAAATAAAATATGCTTTGAACAGCCCTTCAGATATTTCTTTGTATAGGTTAATAAGGAGAAACAATGAAAGTCTACAAATGCCTTAATTTATATCCAGACAAATAGTAATGCTTACTACAGACTATTGAAAAGTCTCTGTAGGGTGTCTAAAACATTGGCAAAAATAAACTTGTTCGATGTATCAGCTAATCATCTATGTCCAAACATTGTACGTATGCCTTTTCACTATAGCTTTACACTTTGATAATGTAATGAACAATAAAAGGCACCACAACAGTATTTCGCTAAACATACTCTATCACTGTGTATATGTTTCATAAGGAACCATCCTGAAAATAAATGCTGTTTTAGTGAGCATGATCTACTTTTTATTACTGATAAGAAAGAATTAAGATGAAAGTAAGAATCTAAATTTAATGCTTTGTGGTTGCACACAAATTGTTTTGAATTCCTCAATGTTCTGAGTGGAACATAGGGCTTCAAGACAATCTCTGAAATTCTAGCAGAGGTGTTGTTTTTTACTAGCTGGGGGATGCTGGCAACACACTTAACAATCCCTTTTCTTCAAGAAATGTTAAGGGTTGCGTTGGTGGAGAAGCGAACGTGTATCCCCCGCATGGTTTGCTAGCATTCTGTGATTAAAATACTTACATAAGGCACACAAAAAACTCTAACTGCTTTTCAATAAAATTGACCAACACTACATTTCCTAAATACCAATGGAAGAGGTAGCCATCAAACAGTTATCCACTAAGCTTCAGTCAAAGGTTTCTACCTATAAAAAACGCCTCAAGAATGAAACTGCTTTTTTGCGATTGACAGAATCATAGTGGCGATTAAAGATGAAATGAAAACGATATGCGAATGCTTAGACGATGGAGCACTGAGCTAGTAATCTCGAGGTCGATTCTTTAAACACTGACTACAATTCAGATTTTGGCTTCGTCTTCAACCATCATCCACTGCTTGCACACAAATATCTAAACTATTAAAATGCCCTTTTTTTCATGCTTTTAACAATATTGAGTGGATTCTAGCAAAAATAACTTAAAACATACAATAAAAAAGACTAATCGTGACTTGCAAAGACAGAAACTCATTAACCCTAATGAAGAGAGCCATAACAGACTAACGATAAACTAACATTTGACAGCTAATGTGGTACAATAATACATATTGATTCATGTATATGTATCTATGCCTGAAAGTATGACTCATTACGAAGAAATAAGACACTATTTTGTAGAAAAAACAGGACATGAATAATGACTTACTCTGATTAGTCTACCAATGACAGTATTTGCAATATTTTCGTCATACTAAGGCTATATTATTCCGCTGACTTCTTTCAAAAGTTATTCGTGAAGTCGGTGTGTCAGTTTAGGTTCTCTATACACTGACTACCTTCATTTTACTTCCAGTGTTATGCTACACATATGTTAGTAATTAACATCTATTCACCTAGTAGAGAACATACTTGCAAACTAGATAATTTATTGCAAAAGAATATTAATACCATCAATTAGCTTAATTGTACAATGCGTGTAAAATGGATAATAGTGATAAACTAACAATGAAACTATCCTCAAAAGTAGCATGCACGTATACACATACAACATAAACAATTCCTTAATGTAACAGAAAACTTTAAGCTACTGAAAACATTAAGGCTGGAAAACAGCGAAAGCGTTGCAATGATCGCATTATATATTTGTAATATTTTTCACTCCTTTATATGTTCCAAGTGGAATATAAGGTTTCAAGCGTGAACTTTGAAGTTTAAATAGCGCTGGTGGTATTTTACGGGATAGGGTTCATTAGCTTACAGCTAACCTTCCTCCTTTCCTTGGCTTACTAGTGATTAGTAAACTAGACAAGGTTTAGAACTGCTTAAATTACTGTGGCGAAAGAATTGGGTTCTTATCTTACGTAAAACATCATTCGCACTGACATTTCGCTTTATCATATATATATATATATATATATATGATCAAATACATCAAGAACGGTAATTAGCGTAAGGGAATAATGATTCCATCAGTTGAAGATGCTTTACTTATTTAACCAGTAGTAGATTTTGCAGACAAGTTTACAGTTCATTGCGAAGATGTTCGCAATCATACACCGACGAATACGCTACTCTATACAAATCTATCTTGCCCTTGCTAATTGTAAGCTTAAATTTATTACACACAAATTTATAAATAAAATATACCTTCCATCATGTACAAGTCAATCCACGTTTTAATTCCCTTGAGAATTAAAAACTAAATTAAAAATGTTATTTTGCAAATCCAAAGAAGTTAGGTAATCAAAATCTGACGCCTTGGGTTCAACCCTCGATGGTGTTGTGTTTGTGGGTGTGTGTGTGTTCACTGTTGCACTAAACAACTTTTCTGTACTGCTTTAGTTTCGACGCTTCTCTAAGAGATGATAAGGTGCGTCTGTGTTTATGTTAAAAGTTAACTTGAACAGAAAAACACACTTATATCTTCAGCTATTAACCTTTTAATTTTTATCACGCAAGTTCTATGAGATTTTACTCTTCTATTCAATTTCTTCCTATTGAATACAATTGGAAACATGAAAACATGATTCTACAATTGTTTTGCTCTTAAGCTGATTTAATTACT